ACACTGTTCCCGGCGTGAACTGTTTGGATGAGACCCAAACTCGTGTAGTCCAGTTTGGCAACATATAAAACGTATTGCTTAATCCAAGGACCACCGGAGACGGGTAAAACAACAACATCTACTTGCATAATTTACCTTTTGAATCAAATAACCGGTGGTAAAATCCTCGCCATGACACTGCTCAATTATAATAGCGTGAAACTATCACCGAAGCAGAATATGATAGTGACATGAGGGAGTTAAGGTTATACCCTAGGGACTTGGTCATTCATGAGTCGCTTTGGGCTGCCCGAGTGTGGACCGCGCAACCGTTCACAGCTGGGGCTCTGAGATTTGTGACGTTGAACAGGTTAAAACAAAATCACGTGTTAAGATTTCAGTTGGTGGAAAGTTCGAAAACTGAAATCGGATATTGAGTGAAACATGGACAGATATCTGATTTTCACCAAAAAGAGGACTAAAGACGAAAGATATAAGATCCAAAGTCTCCGACAAAATCGATATTACCGTTCAAACCGCTAATGTTGCACAGAACTACGTGTGTGGTTGTCCAAACAATTGCGCGTACCTTTCTAAAACAATGGGAACAACCAACCATTCACTCATGAGGAGGAGACCCGATTGGTGTGCCATAATCTTGCAATTCCTTAACAAGCTTCGTTCCGACCTCGGAAATCAGTGCGCTGTGGCACCCTTTGGCTTATATATTGAAATCGGCTCGGTTTGGGCTTGTCGATCCAAACCACGGGATATATGTTTAGGATATCTATAGAAGAAGTTCACGCGGGTGGCAATCTAAACGGTGCTTCACGAGGCTCTTTACTAGCGAGCAAAACGTTGGCGTCCATTCCGTATTGTCGAGCCTTCAGAGTTCTTCGCTCGTACCTAAAGCCTTCTTCCTGGTAACCCGGATAAGATAGGACAGATTGCGTCAATTTCCCATGAGATTAGCATGTCCCATCTTTGATGCGTGTTGAACCAACCAGAATTCGCTGTCTCTACGTTGTCTTGCGCTACGTTTACGTCTCATTTTGAGTTGTGTTGTCTTATGTTTGCTACCTGTCAGAAGTGACTGTTCTGCGTTAAAATGGTATAGAGGCTAGGCGGAAAACCAGGTTATAAAGGTACATCTTGTCAGGCCTCAACTCGCTACACCAAACAAACCGTATAGCATTCCTGATGGGCGACCAGTGCCGATTAATGTCATCACGTGAGATTAGCATTAGCATTTCAACCAGTAGTCTTGGAGGAAGAGTTAGGTCAGGTGTGATGAGACAACGACGTTCGAACTTGATTCATTTATATGAAAGCAACATGGCACTTCGCGATTGTTCAAGAGAGAAGGAGAAATATATCTCGCGCATAGAAACCCTCAAGCTTACAGAAAGAAATGTCCCAACACATAACTTTCAGGACCTCAAACAATACCATTTTAAGTTGGGTTTGAGAAATTACCAGTTTGCTTTGCGAAACTGTCTTTTTAATTTGAGAACTCATCACTTTGAACCTAGAAACTGTCACTTTGAATTGAGAAAGAAACGCTGTGGTTGGAATCCGTTGCCGTTCCGCGCACCTCATTGGTCAATTGATCACACGTGCTTTTTTCTACCCCTGGATTGATCATCTGTCTTCCGACGCTCTTTCTGTGTTGAAATGAACGGTTGAAGTAAAACTGCTCGTAGTTACTCTACGTCAATGGTAGCATTGACGATAGCTCAACAACCAAAGCTGACCACGGAACTCAGACCAGGGATGAGTTTTCAAGTCAAATCGAGTCAAGTACCAAGTTCAGTACCATTCGAGCAATGTACTTTTCATTACGAGTATGGTGGGTCTATTTCAATAGCATTATTCGTTTAGTGACAGTGGTTAGAGTTCTTGAGGATCGTGGGAAGACAGATGATCAATCCAGGGGTAGAAAAAAGCACGTGTGATCAATTGACCAATGAGGTGCGCGGAACGGCAACGGATTCCAACCACAGCGTTTCTTTCTCAATTCAAAGTGACAGTTTCTAGGTTCAAAGTGATGAGTTCTCAAATTAAAAAGACAGTTTTTCAAATCCAACTTAAAATGGTAGAGATGTGCACCGCACTCGGTCACTTGACCCATCGCTGAACTTAAATGCCAGTGAATACTCCCAAGATTATGTCCAAACCTGGTGAAACTATGTAGAGTTTACAAGGGCGTTGGCAACTAATAGCTGAAGAAAACTTCTATCAGGTGCTGTTGATAGCTTACGACGCATGAGGGATGCTTTCAGTGCTAACAAAGCTGGTAATACTTGGTTACAATGAGTTTTCTATCTGTTGCATCATAAAGCCAAATAAGGAGATAATCAATTGGTGCATAAAGCAACACGTTTATTGTAGACAGCAAATATTTAGCTGGTTGATAGACTTGGGAGTAAGCAGAAACTGGACAACACGTGTGAAGGCAAGCTGGCAGGCAGGCCAACACTGGCTCACACGTCACAGAACATCCATAAGCCATCAAGCCGGCAAACGACAGTCCGACAATCGATC